AAACCTTTTCACTTTTAATTTTATAATAAAACATGTATTTAAATTAATTGATATTATAATGGGATAAACTATCATTTTATACTTATGTTATAGACATAATGCAAAAAAAAGTACTCAATATAATATCCGGCTGATGGATCGATCCAAATGGGAAGTTATTCCAAAAGTTAATTCGTGAAGGTTACAGATACGCTGATAGACTTTCAGATTATTTAGAGGATATTGGAACTATGTATATTGGTGAATTTGCATTAGATCTCCTAGTCGACTTTTACTATCCAGCCTTAATTCCGCCTTTATCTGTCTTAGCAATTAGAGTAGATATTCGTGAAAAATTTATTATTAGTGTGGAGTCTGCTGTTATAGGAGGAATAAGTCTATTTACTCTGGAAAAAAATAAACGATCTTCGCTCCAGAATCTAATTCAAATGAACTATTCCATTGATAACTTGACTACGTTAATAGGAATAACTTAGAAGCAAGAAGAGATGAAAACTTGGAGGAATAACGTGCTTATGAAATTCCTCCATCATTCAAATTTGGCTCTTTCGAAGCATAGACCGGGTGCATTATATGATGCATTTACCAAGACAAGTGTTTTAGGGCTAGAATATATATTGGCTCTAGCGCAAATTTAAGGCGTGAATACGATACAAATTTATTCATAGTTACAGAACTCCCATTCCATAACTATGTATTTTTTTCACATATCCTATCTACCCGTAATTTTCAAATCAATGTAAAACTTCCCAGCCAGAGCTCATGGCCTCATAGAGAACCCGCAATAAGTTATAATATTCTTTTGCCCACTGATCATGGATGTCAGAACCATTATTTATTTTTTTTTTAAATTGAACTTTATCGGATATAGAATAACCTAACAGTTACACATAATCTAGTAGTTACTTCACAACCTATATTCACATAACCATGTCCGCAATTATAACAAAGTACGTTGCAGAGCACAAACTCAGTAAAGATATGAGTGATGAAGAACTTAGTCAGC